GAGAACGAATTTCTCTGCGTCTTTTGCCCTTTCTAAAAGAATGATTCAAGGATCATATTTGTAGGAGCCCTAAAGGGATGAGATTTGCCTGCAGACAAAGCTTTAAAAACTGCCGCAAAGTGCATTCTATGTAAGGACAACAAACATCGAGTCTCATGTTTGTTTCCACACGGGAAAATATAGCGAGAAATACCCCCTAGGATTTAACAGATACCTATTAAAGCACATGGGATATCATAGCAAGAAATATCCCACGACAGTCTGAGTAACTTTAGAAAGGCCCATGGCATCCTCTAAAACGCTTGAATTTCTACGTTAGAATGAGGTTTAGAAAAGATACATGAAAGAGAGTCGAAAAACTGGAAAGAAACTTATAAAACTACAAATAATTGATGCAATACATGCCATAAAAGGTATCACGCGCCAGCCCTGTTAAAGTTGCAAGTTCTTTCCTTGTTTTTGTCCTTGCTCTCCTCTTTCCTTTAATTATACAGTTTCAAGCCCAAAAAAAAGTTGTAACCTCAGTACTTGTGAATTTATTTATTGATTGGCTGCAACCATTGGCTAAAGCTTTCATAAAGTTAGAAACTAGAGCTTCTTACATCCAGATCAAAGGTAAATGGACTACTTAAAGCCAACATGAAGGATTTGGGACTCCATGGAGCTAACTCTATGAGTAATGAGCAGTTTAGAGATAATCAGCCTTCAACAACAACAACAACATACCCAGTATTTTCCCACACCATGGAATCTGAGGAGGGTAGTGTATACGCAGACCTTACTCCTACCCTGTGAGGATAGAGTGGTTGTTTCCAATAAACCTTCGGCTCACGAAAGCATAAGCACCACATTAATGAAAATATAGACAAGAAGGGAAAATACCAAAAAGCCATATAAAAGCAGAATAAAAACAACAAGACAGTAAGGTGATCAACAATGAAAGAAAACAATGATTAGTCATAAAAAACTACTACCAACAGAAAGCGAGATTGCGTGCCAATACTATTGTTATGAACACTCTATTGTTATGTACACTCTAGACTACCTACTCTACTACCCTAATCCTCGACTTCTACCTTCCTATCAAGGATCATGTCCTCGGTCGGCTGAAGCTGCACCATATCTTGCCTAATCACCTCTCCTCACCTCTTCTTTGGCCTACCTCTACCTCTCCGTAGGCCCTCCAATGCCAACCTCTCACACCTCCTCACCGTGGCGTCCGTGCTCCTCCTCTTCACATGACTAAACCACCTAAGCCGCGCTTCCCGCATCTTGTCCTCAATAGGACCCACACCCAACTTGTCGCGAATAACCTCATTTCTGATCCTATCTAACCTGGTGTGCCCGCACATCCATTTCAACATCCTCATCTCTGCTACCTTCATCTTCTGGACATGAGCGATCTTGACTAGCCAACACTCGGCCCCATGCATCATCGGTGGTCTGACCACCACTCTATAAAGCTTTACCCTTAAGTTTCGGTGGCACCTTCTTGTCACACAAAACACCAGAAGCGAGTCTCCATTTCATCCATCCCACCCTAATACGATGTGTGACATCTTCATCAATCTCCCCATCCCCTGAATAATAGACCCAAGGTACTTAAAACTCCCTCTCCTAAGGATGACCTGCGAGTCCAGCCTCACCTTCCCTTCCCGTCCTTGAGTCTCACCACTGAACTTATACTTTAAGTATTCTGTCTTGGTCCTGCTCAACTTAAAACATTTAGATTCGAAGGTCTGCCTCCATATCTCTAATTGCGCATTCACGCCGTCTCGCGTCTCGTCGATCAATACAATATCATCTGCAAACAGCATGCACCACGGCACCTCCCATTGGATGTGGCGCGTCAGTACGTCCATCACTAGAGCAAACAAAAAAGGGCTGAGTGTCGACCCCTGATGCAACCCCATCATAACCGGAAAATAGTCCAAGTCCCCGCCCAGCGTCCTCATTCGAGTCTTTACACCATCATACATGTCCTTAATCAACCTAACGTAGGCAACAGGTACACCTCTAGCCTCCAAACATCTCCATAAAACCTCCCTCGAAACTTTATCGTACGTCTTTTCTAAGTCGATGAACACTATATACAAGTTCTTCTTCCTCTCCCTATACTACTCCATCAATCTCCTAACAAGGTGGATGACTTCTGTAGTCGAACGCCCCGGCATAAATCCAAACTGGTTCTCGAAAATAGACACACTCCTCCTCACCCTTAGCTCTACCACTCTCTCCTGGACTTTCATACTATGGCTAAGCAGCTTGATACCCCGATAATTATTGCAATTTTGGATATCACCCTTGTTCTTGTATATAGGAACCATCGTGCTCCACCTCCCCTCTTCGGGCATCTTCTTCGATCTAAAAATGACATTAAATAACCTAGTGACTGGTGAGCCACTCCAAGCCTGCCTTGCCCGCACTCTACCAAAACTCCACCGGGATTTCATCTGGCTCGGTCGCTTTGCCCCTGCTCATCTTACGCATAACCCCCGCAACCTCATCAACTCTAATCCGCCTACAATAGCCAAAGTCACAACGACTTCCAAAGACTTCCAAATCACCCAGTATAATGCTCCTGCCCCCCCCCCCCCTCGTTCAAGAGACTATGGAAGTAGGTCTACCATCTCCGACTGATAAGCCCCTCATCCAACAAAACTCTACCTTCTTCATCCTTGATGCACTTCACTTGGTCCAAGTCACGCGCCTTCCTTTCTCGCGCATTGGCTAACCTGAACAACCTCTTATCCCTACCTCGGCCCTCAAGTTCCTCATACAAACTACTAAAAGCTGCAGTCTTGGCCGCCGTAACTGCTAGCTTTGCTTCTTTCTTAGCCAACTTATAATGCTCCCTATTCGCCCTCTTCTCCACCTCGTCTACACTTTCCACTAGCTTCAGATACGCTGCATTCTTGGTTTCCACTTTTCCTTGCACCTCTCCATTCCACCACCAATCTTTGAGACCCCAAATACCTCTCTCGCGGCTTCCCTAATGCACTGCGCGGTCGTGGTCCACATAGCGCTTGCGTCCCTACTACTCCTCCAAGCCCCCTACAGTCACCAGCTTGACCCCCAACTTCTGCGCTTTAGCTTCCGTCAAGGCTCCCCATTTTATCCTATGTTGACTATACATCGCCCTCTTCCTCTTGATCTCAAGGTCCATGACTAGGAGCCAACGAAGGGTCGAGAGGTTCTCACTCGGGATGACCTTGCAACCCGTGCAAAGACCTCTATCGGACTTCCTGCAGAGTAAATAATCAATCTGAGTCTCGGCCACCGAACTTCGAAAGGTGACCAAGTGCTCCCTCCTCTTCGGGAAACTCGACTTTGCTATCACCAAATCAAATTCTCTAGCAAAGTCCAGCAGAGACGTTCCTCCTCAGTTTCTATCTCCAAAACCAATGCCACCATGCATCACCATACCCCCTCCCCCTCCCTTCGGCGTCGCTCCAATGTGGCCGTTGAAATCTCCTCCTATGAAAAGCTTCTCGGTATGCGGGACACCACGCACCATCTCATCCAAATCCTCCCAGAAACGCCTCTTGACTTCCTCATCCAAGCCTCTGGGGTGCGTACGCACTGATTATGTTCAAAGTAAAACCTCCAACAACTAGCTTAATAGTCATCGACCTGTCATTCACCCTCCTAACCTCTACCGCTAGTTCACGGAGGTCCTTATCAACCAAGATAACTACCCCGTTCCTGCCCCCTACCCTCCCAGAATACCAAAGTTTGAAACAGCCTGCATCCTGCGCCTTATCTCCTACC